CAATAGAGGCAATGAAGTGCTCCTCTTTAGTTGTCTTTTACTATGGATTGTCAACTACCGTGAAAAGAAAAGCTGAAATATTTAGACAGAATTCTTAAGTTCACTACCTCCCAGCACAGTCCCCTTCCATGTACGCCCAAGCAGCAGAAGCATGGGATCGATGGAAATCTCTGATCCAGAATCCAGTTCTCCAACCATCACACAGACACCAGTGCTCATATTGCAGGAAGCCAAGGCAGCAATCTGATGGGAGAGGCAGGAGAATGAGAGAAAGCCCTTATGGGTTAGTCATGGGAGTGCTCTTTGGTGCAATCTCCTGCTCCTCCCTGGTAATCTGAAAACACACATCCCCCCTTGTGGAGCAGACTTGGATAGCTTGAGACCTCTTTATGATTTGTACACTGTTTTATGCCCAAGCCAGAAGACTGCCATTGTGCATCCAGCAGTGCAGGCAATAGGCAGGGGACTTGCCATGGAGGTGAATTTTTCCCTGAGAGAAGCCTGTGGTGATCTGGGAGGGAGCACGGGTGCTGAAGTGCCACCTACCATGGTGTCCGCGTGCCCAATGGCCTCAAAGGAGTAGTCGACGCCCTGCCCGGTCATCTCCGTGATCACCTCCTGGATGGGCTTCTGGAAGTCTCGAGGGTTGATGCAGTCGGTGGCTCCCAGCTCCTTGGCCTTGGCAAACTTGTCCTTGTTGATGTCCACGGCAATGATGCGGGAAGCTCCAGCTGCCTTGCAGCCCATGACAACAGAGAGGCCAACTCCTCCGAGGCCGAAGACGGCACAGGAGGAGCCTGGTTTTACCTGCACAGATGGGAGCCTGTGAGTCTCCAGCGGGAACAGGAGGAGGGAGAGGAGAAGGAGGAGGCAAAGGTTTCCTTTGCACAAAATTGATCAGGTTTTGAGGGCAGCCGTGGGGTGCTAAAGATTCCAACCTTAGCTGTGTTGATGGCAGCCCCATAGCCTGTGGAAAACCCACAGCCAAACAAGCAGACTTTGTCCAGAGGTGCTGCAGCATCTATCTTGGCAACGGCGTATTCTGGGACCACGGTGTATTCTGCAAAGGTGCTGATCCACAGGAAGTGGTGGATCTGCTTCCCTCTGCAAGAGAAGCGGCTGGTCTTGTCTGGCAGGAGGTTTTGTGGTTCAGAGAAACTGTGGAGGAGACACAAGTATTTGTATTTGATTGAGTGAAGCACTGATGGGGTGTCAGATTTGTCCAAAAGTCAATCCCACATAGACGTAGGGGAAAGCAAAATAAACTTACTGGGACTTCTGGCAGAAGTTGGATTCAGGATTCCGGCAGAAGCTGCATTCCCCACACTGAGGGAGGCAAAGGGGGATCACTTTGTCACCTGGAAGAAAACAATATCCCATATTAGGTGGCTCTAAGGATGCTGCTTGAGTGAGAGCTGATTCCTGGGCATGTGTTTGTGTGTGTGTGTCTGTTACCTGGTTTCACAGAAGTCACTCCTTCTCCGACGCTTTCCACAATTCCAGCTCCTTCATGGCCAGGAATAACTGGGAAGTCTGCGTTGGGAAAGCAGCCTTGCAGAAGGTGTTCATCTGTGCGACAGATGGCTGTGGCCACAAGCTATTTGGAGAGGAACACGTAGATGTCCTTGCCTCTGTCTTACTCAGTTTATGGAAGCAATTTTCTCAGGGGTGTTATGATGCCCCTCAGTCAGTGCTGGCACTCTATGGCAGCACACAGAGCCCAGGCTGGGCTTTCCCCTTCTGCTCACTCTGGATGCTCCATGTGGCTTTCCTCTGCACTGAGCTGGAGGTGGAAATTGAAGGGAGGCCACAGTGTGGGTACCCGAGCCCTGTCCAGCAGAGCAATGGCTGGAGACAGGAATTCCTGTGTGACAGCTTAGACAAGAATTGGTCCAAAAAGGAGCCCCTGGCAGATGGTGCATTTGAGCCAAGGCAGCTCTGGACAATTAAAGCCTCCTGGAGAACAAAGATCCCTGAGTTTTACTGAAGGTATAACCACAAGAAGAGCAATTCCCACAAGGAAGGAAGAAAAAATTATTGAAATGTATTTTTACCTTGATTCGGACTTCCCCTGCCTTTGGGGGTGCAACTTCCACCTCCTCAACAGAGAGTTTGCCCGGGGCCCAGGCAACAGCAGCCCTGCACCTGATAACCTGGAAACAACCGAGAGGAATACATTGCATGGGAACATTAGCCTTTAGCACATGGTTGAGGGAAGTCATCCTGCAATCAACTGAACCAGAGGTGATCAAACCTGGTGATGCTCAGCTGAACCTGAAACCAAGTGCTGTCCAATAAACACTGGCCTAGTTCAGGGTCTGAGGAAACCCCAGTTTGGGTTTGGGACCCAAAGAGTGTCAGGTGTAGCCTTGGAAAATTACTGGGTTCTGATGGCTTTGGTGGATTTTTCATAATATCCCCAAGTATTACTGGCCAGGCTGTGCTGTCATGGGGACTGCAGACCCTACCTAGTGGAAATGCCTTTGGAGAACTTTGACATCATCCTTGTAACACACTGGGCTGATGGTGAGCGAGAGGGGTTGTAGAATTGTCCCCATCTGATCAGCACCAGGAGGGTTTTTTTCCTTTACCAAGGTTTGCTTTGAGTGTGACATGGCTCAAACCCTTCCCGATC